TTTGACTGAATTTTAATTTTTTTAAAAAATAGATCAGAGGCGAATTTGTACGTACTAATTTTTCAGGTAAATTTGTTTACGGATTAAAGGATAACACACTAGTTCATAAATTTGGAATTTAATAATTAACCAGTTATATAAAATTTTCAACCCCCGTTGCGCCTCAGATACGATCTTGTATCAGGTACGTACGTACGTATGCACGTACCATCTAGCAAAGATTAGGATAAGATTAAATTACAGAATAGAAATCACTGATTTACCAGGTGCTATTAAAAAAAAGTATATAGAAGAATTCTACTACAAAAATTTATATAATCAAGATTTTTGTCAGCAAAATTTTGGCCATAAAAACTTTTGTAAAAGGTTTTGTACAGCACCATTAGCACCATCCATAAAAACGGAGACTCAAAATAGTAACGGAACCTCGGCCCATGCTTTTGCATCTGGGATGAAATATCATTTGATATACAATATTAAACTAATAAGTCAATAAACTACAGAAAAAATCATTAAAGCGTGAAGAAATAATAGCTATTGGCGTTTTGAACATGTGTCAAACCATTATTATTATCAAATTTAAAAATAACAATTCACAAGTACATACAAATATTCGGAAGTAATCAATATTCGTACCTATTATTTTATATTCGATCTCAGCAAATATATTAATATGATCTAGCTCACAATCCTAATGTCTTCTTAACGTTATCACGAACAATTTTATTAAATGCCTCTCGATCATTTCTCCAAATTTTCTTTTAGAACATAAATAACATGGATCAGTTTTTTGCCTTTAACAATAAATATATATAATAGTAACCATACCCTGAAAGTCCACATATGAGTGCATTCAAGAGAAACCCTGTCATCGGGCTTCAATTATATTTTGTGTCCAGTTGGTTCTCTGAGTGCCGTCTAGAGAAAATTTATCATCGGGCTTTCGATTATATTTTGTAACAAGTCATTACAAATATAATCGAAAGTTCGATGATAAATTTTTTCTAGACGGCACGTATAAGACAAACTGGACACCAAATATAATTGAAAGCCTGATGACGTGAGTTTGTGCCTAGGATTAAGTTTTTTTTTTGAATAGACTTCCTTGTATATTTAGTATTCAAACTAGAAAATTATTCTAGAAACAAGCTAAGCTACTACAAGGTTAGCATTAGTCTCTAGTAAAGATAATTAGAAACAGAAAATTAAGAAGAATAATAGAGAAAATATTTTCTAACTTGAATACTTGCAACACAACAATAATTTTTTTATCTTTTACTAAATTTTTAACAAAAAGTAGAGAATTTGGTTTATTCCTATTAAAAGATTAGCAATATTTATTACTTTTATATTGGAAAAAACTTAGATATATATAACAAATCAAAACACAAACATATAAAGTTACTAATTATATTAATAGAGACAGGTTAGAAAAATCTAAAAAAAATTTTAAATTAATTTGAATATATTTTGTTAAAAATAAAGGTTCTTTGAAATAAATTCAAAAAAATAGTTTTTAATAATGATTAGTTGATTTTAAAAAAACTTTTTATTTAATATTATATAATATAGAAAATATATTTGAAAAATAATTTATAATAAAAAACAACCAAGATTTAGTAATAGCAGAAAAACATAAAGCCTTTTATTTAGCATTTTAAGAATAGTTAACAAAAAGCAATAGTATAAGAGATATACAATAATTTTGTAATTATATATATATAATTTTTAAATCTTGTATATAGACTATAGCAGTATTTTTATAGGACAGTTATAAATACAATAATAAGTTTGGACACTTTAAACAATTTTAATTGGTGATTCACTAGTCAACCAAAGAAAGGTCATAGTATAATATAACACGATTTATATATAAAAATTAGGGTTTTGTAAATGTGGGCTGCATTATTCTAAACTTTTTTTTGTATTAAGTTAACCACCTTTGGGCTTCTAATTGAAGTTGTAGAGCTTGTTGAGACAATTCAACTACCATTAGATTCATTTCAATGAGCTTTACAACTTCAATTAGAAACCCAAAGGTAGTTAACTTAGTATGAAAAAAAGTTTTAGAATAATGCAACCCATATTCGCAAAATCTTAATTTTTATATGTAAGGCCATACAAAGTTAATTTTTTGGTTCTCATAACATAAACTTTGAAAAATG